TTCCAGGAGACTCCAGTGAATTGTCTTTAGATACAAAAAGCCTTCCAGGTGTAGAAGGCAGGCTAGGGGTAGATGAATATTGTCAGTTCAGGTTAAGCATATTGGCGAGGACTTAAAAGAGGGTCAAAGGCAGTTTCTCAGCATAAAAACAGTGTTTGTACCTACCCTGTCCTGGGGCAGCAGGAGATGGTTTAATGTGAGCAGAGACTACAGAAAAATCTGTGGCATGAACACTACCAGAATACAGAGAAATGTGTTCTCTGTAATCGAATATATCTTTCAGCAGGTAGTCCTAGTTCCAGTAGGCATGTACCTTTGGAGGTTTAATATTAAATCTTGTCAGAATTGCCTGTGGACTGTCTTGGGTGGTGATAAATCTGTGTGTGCAAGGTATTTATTAGTTGAGATAGAAGGTATCTGTTTCTATATTGAAATTGTCTGAAATGTCTGACTAGTTTAGGTGTTGCCTCTGCTTGCTCAAACTAGATCTCTCCTGAATGCCAGAACCATGATTGCAGCACTTCTGCCATTTAATTGACCAGCTAATTTACCCTGTAATTATATAATAGGGTATTTAAGACTGTCTCTTTAGAGCAGAGGTATTAGCTTTATTTATCTGCTTCATTCAAGAACAGATGTTTCTACTGCGTTACTGAAGTAATCAATGTCTTTGGAAATCAGATTGCTATTTTCTGAAATAGAATATGATGGAAAATCTAAATTATAAATCATAAAAGGGGAGGAGTGAAAGTAATTGCATTGCAACTTTGCAGAAATTGTTTTTGATAAAATCTGACTCATGGTAATGGTAAATAGTTAAAAACATTAACAGTATGACGGAAGTGGTGTTGTCTCTTGCACCTGTGTGGCTAAATATTTCACTTATCTGACATGCTGTTTCTGTATTTCAGAGGACTGTCTTTTGTCTTTTTGCAGCTTCAGAGTTCTTTAAATTTCCTTAGTAATTTGGATTTAAATGTTTCATTTTTTTCCCCAATTTTTCCACAGTTCATTATTTCTTTATTTTTAATTGCCACATCAGGTTTCCAATCAAGGTACTTGCACTTCCAGAAACATCTGTGTGTAAGGTCATTTTTTCTGAATATATATTTTAGGGTTTTTTTTCTTTTGAGTATGAAGACTGATACATGCTGCTAGTAAGCTTAGCAAAGTGGATGAGTAGGATTTTAGTACTTAAATAAGATCGAGTGACATGAAGGAAAAAGACTTAACTCACCACCCACCCTTAAGGCCATATCCTGTGTGACCCACAGAAGCAGTCCCAGTGAAGACAGGAAAGTTTTAACCCGAGTAAAGTAGACAGGATCTCATTAAAATAACCCACTGTTGTTTAAGAACTCTTTTTATATAGCATCATGGAAGAAAACTAAATTACTATGGAAACTTTAAATAGCATCATGGAAGAAAAGTAAACTACTACCTTAAAAGAACCAGAAACATTTGCTGAGCTGAGAATCAGTTGCATAGTGCACATAACTTGTTTTTTCTCTATCTTGCACAGCAGTGTAAGTGTAGGTAAATAAATGCTTATGCTGCAGATAGGATCCAAATAAATATTTTTACTTTTGTATTTTGAGACAGTAGTCACATACTGTTGTGACACAAACTTTCTTCGATTTTCTTGAATGGTCCGGCAATACAGTTGCTGTCTTAGAAGGTTTCACCACATCTCATGTTATTTGTTTTCCTTCAAACCCTGACCCCCAGTTGAAGTTTGTTACATGAGCATCTTAACTTCCAAGTAATTTTCTTTTTGAAGGAAATGTCTAACTCTGATGGTTTCAGATAAGCACAAATTTCAAAACATAAACCCCAAAGATTAAAAAAAAAAAAAAAAGCAACAAACAAACGAGAAAAATAAAAAGTGTAAAAAGTGTTCTTTAAAACTAAGTCATGGTATTTTATAGTATTTTGAACAAATAGTTGCTTTGTTTATTTAAAAATAGTATTTTGAAAAAAGTTGGCGGCTACTTATTGCTAGCTCATGAGTTGCTGGTGTCAATATGCATACAGCTTTAACTACATGTAGGATACCTCGTTCAGCATTTCTTTTTTAGCTCTAAAGACCTTTCCAGCATTTCCTGCATTTTTTTCATTACAAACAGATCAAGAATTCTTAGTAAGTACTTCATAGTATAGTATAGTTTATTCTCTCCCATACAGAGTTCTCTTACCAGCAGCAAAAACAGTAGCAAAAAGATTGTCCCATTGCCTATTGTATTAGAAAATCAAAGGTAAAAACTTACTTTGCATTTATGAAAATGCTGTTGAGGGAATCAAAACCATCCTGTTGAAAACTGCCCAGCAATCTAAACGTGTGCATAGTTACAGTTGAGAAAGATCTCTAAAAAGCCGAGTTTTTCATTTAATAACTCTTATATAAATAAAATATCAATATAAATGATGAAAAGTTTATCATTCCGGCTTCAACAAAAGGCAAAAATAATGTGAGGAGGAATGCCATAATACATAGCTTTGGATTGGTAGGCTTGAGTAAAATTGTCAATCCCAATATCCTGGTCAAGTTCTGATTTCTAGCTACCTGAATCTCTATCCAGTGACATGCTTTCCAACATAGTATCCAAATATATTGAATAACTATGTTTCTTAATAATTTAATATTTGCAAGTAAATTTTTAATCCAGATGGGGTTTTTCTTTGTTTTGGGTGGGATTTTTTGTCAAGTTGTCTCCTTTTTTTCCTGAAAGATACTGTGTAAATATGAGTATATTAGAATATTGACAGCCTTAGGCATTGCATACAGTGGGAATCTCCACTTTCTGTGTAACTGGAGGTAGCTACAGAGGAAAGAAAGGCTGACCCTTTGCTTTTTGCTCTCCAAGCAAAGGTGGGCAACCTGTGAACGCCATGCAAACAAACAGGTTGTGCTGTACTTCTCGTTTGGTCTCATTTCACAGGTAGGCAGGGAGAGCCAATTTGTCATAAACAAACATTCCGCCCAGTTGTAGAATATGTCAGGCTTTGACATCGCTAATACAGCAGTGTGATATCTTTCTCAGTGAAATAATCTCCAGTAGTGACGTCACTGCTTACAATGCTGCAATCGGGAGACAGACACTTCAGTGGTTAATGCAGAGAGGCAATGTTACACCTGTTTGTGGCTGACCACAGCTAATTTATTTTGTATTAAAATTCTTTTCACAGTAGAGTAGGTATATATAACTCACATCAGCGGTATTGTATGCGCTCCTTAGTAAACCTCCAGGAAATGTCTGACTTCTTGGCACGATCCCCCAGGAACCACGGCTGATGTGGTGCCCTGCGGCCTCTTCTCTCGTGTGCGGGTGACCCGTGCGATTGCTTCATTTCTATTTTTTCTCATTGTCAGATTGTGAAGGATTGAAAGAAAACTGACACAGCTGGAATAGGGAAGAAATTATTTTCTAACAGAAATTCAGATTGATAATGTTGATAATGTCCTTTATTCTGAATCAAATTCTGATTCCATTATTACAGTCTTACAGCAGTCCTTAGAAGAGATCCTGTTGTCTCAGGCATTGTGTGACCATCTAGTTATGGGGCAGTCCCTGCACTGGGAAAGTTTGTCACCTAATTAGCCAGGACATACAAAGGTGGGAAAGAAAGGTACAGCCTTGCCCAAGGGCATCCAGAAGGTCCCTGGGAAAACCAAGTGTTGAATTCAGGTCTTCCCATTTCCCCTTCCAGTGTCTCATCCAGTGGGGAATAGTACAGTTCTGTTGATATGCATGATTTTAGGGGGAGAAGCAGCTGAGTATAGCAGATCTGAATATAATTATTACGAGCAAATAATAACCTGGCCATTACAGGAGTATTTTTCTTGCTCTCAAGCAAAAGCACTGAACCAGAAGCAACAAAACCAGAAGGGAAAACGTACACAAGTATAGGACAACTTTGATGAAAATACTAATGTAAGGCAGATTTTTGTCACTTTTGGCTTATAAAGTAGAAGCAAAGACAAAACTTCTACTTTACGGTAGGCACAGCACCACCTGTAGCACATTGCGCTCCCTCCAGCCAAGTGCTGCTCAGAGCTTCGCACACACAGATGGGTGCTGCGTAGGCTTACCTCGTGTGCGCCAATGGCATGCGCACGGTGGAAAATGGCAAATGCAAATAGAAGCACGCGTATTGAGACAAGTGTGTGTGACTTCTTTACAAACTTGCACTTACTAACAAAGGTCTGAATCATTCTGTTGTAGTAAAGCTTCAATAAGAGGAAACGGGTGAGGATCTGTCATGGGGGTTTATCAGCCCTTGCGAAGGTGGCTTCTGTTTTGGCTTTTTTATGGAGTTGGGTAGAGAAAGTAGATTCACATTGAGACTCTGATCTTTGCGCTCAGTAAAAGCCTTTATTTGGCTCTGACAATGCTGTGAGACACCAGGCTTGTCAGAAGGGTGGACTAAGCGTCAGGAGGTGGTGACTTCTGCAGCAGCTGTGGAAAGGCTCATCAGTGTTCACCCACGGATGGTAAACAGGTACCTGAAAGTGTCCCACTGAGGTTTATGACTGTTCCAATGTTGGAGCACTCAGTGCTTTGCAGGACTAGATCCTAGCACTAAACGCTGATTGGCAACGATACTGCATTGCACTTAGAAATTAGTTTTTATAAAAATTGTTTGTTGAAATGTAAGGTCGTGATTTTAATGTTGGAAAACCACTCAAGCAATGGAGGTAGATTGTTGGTCAGTGCTTATTCTATGCAAATGAAAACATCCAGTGTATGAAAACAGGTGCTCCTATTGTGAATTCTCAGTCACTATTACAGTGAAAAGAATTGCTAGGTGTTTGATGTACTTTAAAGTGTTGTTTGTGATGTTTTAAGTGTGCCAGGCTTGGAAATGTCATTCAGGTCCGGTACCTTGTATCGAAAAGGTCAGTAACTTGTATCGGAACACACTTGGAATTAAAGCCTTATGTATTTCCTGTTTATTACTAGGTATAAGCAATTGAGGACAACACTTCTTGCTGTTCAAAGATGGAAAACAACATAACTACTATCTCTCGTGAAGAGCTTGAAGAACTAAGAGAAGCATTCAGTAAAATAGGTATGTTTTTAAATAAGAAAATAGTAAGGATGCCATTAACATTGCAGAGCTGTGTAGGATTTGTGGAAGAAATCTTTATGGGTCACTTTGTTTTGACAGGGCCGTGTTTCCCTTCTATGTTACCGGTAACATCTAAGAAAATAAGAACGTTTACATAAAACCCCTTACTTTTACTGAAACTATGTGTGTTTATTCATTTCTTTCAACTTCAGCAATGAAAACAGATACATTTTCTTGCTGGGCAGTTGCATTATTTGTGCCATTTTATATGCAGCACAATAGGTCTCAAAGTTCAGTTTTTTTGAACTCCTTAAATCTGGAAAAAAATAATTAAAGTTCAATTGTTAAATATATTTTCATGTTAGATTACTGACACTTTGGTTTTGCTTTACTTGCATGCTTTGGTGAACTAGTAATTTCTCTTTTCGTTTATTGGATCAGATTTTACATTTTGAGTAAGCTAAACTTGGAGGTTTTTTGATCGTGCTTTTGTAGCTAGCGGATGTTAATAAATAACTGCACAATTTTGTATGCTTGACAGGACGTTTGCAGATTAATCAGAGCGTAAATAGAAAGAGTGAGAAACTGTATATCAAGTAACCCTTATTTCCAGATTGCAAAACTGTTGTGAATGTTGAAGTTCACATCTGCTTTATTTCTTGTTTGCTGCAGTTCTGTGGGAGTGATGTGTAACTGTGAAGCTCAGCAAATCAAACAAACATATTTGTAATCATTCATAATGGGGGACCAGGGTCGCTTTAGGCAAGAAGTCTTAAATATTAGGAGTCTCCAGCTTGGTAAACAGATTATTGGGAAGCTGCATGTTAGAGATGTGTAAGACCATGAGTAGTATGGAAAAGGCGAAGAGGGAATTATTCAGTTTCTGTCAATACTGGTATCACGTGATGCCCAGTAGAGAGTCAGAAAGCTAAAAATAAAAATAAGTAACTTTTCTTCATGACAAATGATAAAACCATGAACCCATTGACTCGGGATGTTGTTGAGACCAAAAAAGAGTAGAAATGCTAAAGGAATAAGATACATCCATGGAAAGTAATTCATGAGTTGCTATTAAACAATCATCTTGACATAGTCTGTAGCTCAAAAAGTCTATAGCCTCCAGGAGCTGGAAAGACAGACCAAAGAAAAGAACACTGTATACATGTATCAATCTACTGGGAGGTGTTAGGGTAGGTAGATACTCCCTGGTGTTGTCTGACAGCTTTTCTATTTGTTTGGTTTTCACCATCTACATTCCTTCTTTTTCTCACTTCCCTTCCTGCATGTTTTCATGTTTCTGCTCTAAGAATTGTCTGTACTGCTCCTACTCACTGAAAAGCATTTTCTTCCTTACTGTATTATGCTTTCTGAAATATAAAAATGTAGCATCATTTAGCTCTTTTCTTTTTTCATTTTTATGTTTCTAATGTCTTTATGGATAAAATGCTTGCAGCTATATTGGTAAACTGAGAGAAAAGGTGTGTATTTAACTCCCTGCTTGTCATCATGGAAACTTACCCTCAGTGAAAGATGAACCTAGAGAAATAAAATAGCTGGTAATCTGAGTGAGCTCGTGAGCATGTCCTCTGCTTTTTAGACCATCCCTGTTATTACGTGTGTTGTTACCTGTCTGCAAGCCAGACAGTGGATGGATTAATACATATGCATACATCAAGTTTGCCTGTGTAGTGATTTGTGAATTGTTGGTAGTATCAAAAACACAAAAAGATATTTTTTAACAGATGTTTTTAGCTTTTCGTCAGCAGTGATGTGGCCTTCTTATGAAGCTGTACAGAAGCTACATAGTGTAGTATGGATTACAGGGAAATTACTGTATAGCAATCAGTTACGGCTAGAGATGAAAGCATGTTTCTCTGCTTGCCCTTCTGTAATGTGATGCATATTCATCCACTCTGGTATTGTTGGCTGAGTTCTGATACTAGAGACAATATGAAGAGAGGTTTTTTTAACTAGTAAACGAAAAAAACAAAAACGGGAGCACCTTGACAAGTCAGAAAAGTGGCCACATCATTTTGCTTCTGTTTCTGACTCGTGTTGCTTGTGGCATTCTCTTAAATTACTTGTCTTAGATGCATCATTTGCAGAACTGGGAAAATACTCTTAATTTGTATTTTTTGAGAGCTTTAATATGATTGTGAAAGAGACTGAAAATTGTTGTCAAACATGGAAAATATTAGCATTAAATATATAAAATGATAGGCATTATGTCCAGCACTAGTTATGCTGGATATGATTTCTTGTATTTGATTGAGCTTCATCTATACTGTGTATGGACTATAGCTTTCCTGCTTTTAAAAGTACTTCCCTCCATTGCATAGGCATTGCACTACAGGTACAGGTAACGCTATTTTAGTGGGCATTATCAAATTCTGTTTGCATAGATATCTGTGTACATATATATGGAAATACACATAGATATAAAAAAAATCAGGAACAGTTAATGTTTGATTCATTTATGCATTACATTGGATAAAAACATTATAGGTTTGTAAAATGGTGCTTTATTATACTAAGAGAAAAATTCAAGGCAGCTTTCTGCACACAGATTTGCCTAAGGTGGAAGTACAAAGGGGATTTTTATGATTTCTTCTGTGCTGCTGCATTATGCATCATGAGTAACACAAATTATACCCATTTTTTCTTAATTTATTTTTATGTGATACAGCCATTCATTTCTTTCCACAATTGTGGAGCTATACCATACCTCTTGTTGAACAAAGCATTCTGATGCTTTGCTGTGCATGGACATTCCTGACATGTGGTCTTGGGAGCCAAGTGTAAGTGAAGGTGGCAGTACAAATTGCTCCCAACAGAGCTAGTTAATAGATTAAGGAAGGTCACCTTTAATAAACAGATACAGATCATCCCAGATTTATTCTTCACAGGTAAGCCTAACCACACCAAAAGTTTTGAAGAACAGAAAATGTCTATCAGATACTAGGATAAGAAACAAAATGCAGAGTCAGGTAGAGTTCTTGTGTAAGTAGTTTTTCTTGTTTAAGTGTGCTCTTCTAGTAACAACTTGCATCAGATTTGAGCTTACCGATTGCAAATGGTATAATATGAACAGTAGGAATATAATAATTGATCTCCCTTTCACTTGAAGGTTTATAGAGAATTTTGTTGAGAGTCTTAAAAAAAAGCTTAAACTTTGCTATTTACAAATGTGCCGTCTTGTTATAGCTGTGCTTTGGGCTTTATAAGATAGTTCCTGAGAAAATACATAACGAGATGGCACAACTCTGAGCCAGTTGTGCCTCTAATCCACGAGTATTCCTTCATGCTTCCTTATCTATGTCAGAAGAAATACTCGTCTCCTAGAACTGCATTTCTCACACTTTATTTATTCTCAACAGTTACTATAAATGGTTCTTTACATAAATATAAAACCAACTTGTGCTTTCATTTTACAGATATTGACAACAGTGGGTATGTCAGTGATTATGAGCTTCAAGATCTGTTTAAAGAAGCAAGTCTGCCCTTGCCTGGATACAAAGTCCGGGAGATTGCAGAAAAAATCATTGCAGTGACAGATAGCAACAAGGATGGAAGAATCAACTTTGAAGAATTTGTCTCTGTAAGACATCCCTTTAGATGTTTCTATACTGTCTGATATCTGTTGAGAACTAGGATAGAAAACTGAATTAAGTGGTACAACTAAGTACTATTTTGATACAAATAACTAATATTTTGAGATTGGGAAAGTTTTCTGTGACAATTTACAATATCCTATGTAATTATTTTCCAGTCTTTATATTTCGCTCTCCCGTTTAATTTAGTAGATCTCATTTGGGCAGCATGTGAGAGCACAGTAGTTTCAGTAAGTCCTACTTTCTATTTCCTCAAACATGAGGGGATGGACTACATGTTTCAGGAACTGCTGGGTCAGCCCTTCCCTGACAAAAGATTAGATAATTAGATACCAGCCTCTGAATTCTTTTAGTGATAAACTAATGCTTGTGCTACTATGCATCATCTCTATACTAAAGGCTATTTTTTACTGGGAGTGAGGTTCACCTTTAGTGAACAAATTTGAAAGGTCTAGACTCTTTTTAATGTTGATCACTGGCTAGTGTGCTTTATTTAAGAGAAGCAAAAACTTTTCAGGCTGTTGGTTTGTGTGTGTGTTTGGGGATGATTAGGTTTTTTTCTTTGAATTTAGAATACTGCTGCTAATTGCAGCAGGTTGCTTGTTGAACTAGTTATTGATCTTTCTTTCCAAGATTCTAATTTGCAATGGTTCATAGGTGACATGCAAATATTTGCATTCGGTTATTGAACTGTATCTGTTACTTATACTTCATTGTCAGTTTTGAGACCTCTACAGTATTTGGACAAATTTAGGACATATCAGTATATCCAATGTGGTTCACGTTGCAGGCAGGTAGAAAATGGCATCAGCTTGCTTAAGGGCATGTGTAACTGTCATGTAGTAACCTTTTACTGTAAAGCATATGATGAATTAAATGGAAGAAATAGGCTATAGTCATTGAAAATGTGTATTTTTTTGGTGTTTTCTTTAGTGTTTTCTTCAGTTTACCAAAATATCTGTGGAAAAAACTGTGTAGATTGGTGCATATCTACTTTTTTAGATATCATGGCTTAATAAAGGTAGCACTTGAGGTACTCACTGAGAAATAATATATTAGATATCCAGTATGCGAGCTTCATGAGGAGATTTAAACTAGTTTTACCCATACAGTAATTTTTTTTTTTTCTTGAACAAAAGTTAATGTAAATACCAAAGAAAGGCATTCAGGTTAATTACTGACTCTAGAGTACTTACATGAGTTAACACTTAGTTATTTGAAGGTATGCTCAATCACAAAATGCTCTCTGTTATTCCAGATAATTCAGGAGTTGAAAAGTAAAGATGTTAGCAAATCTTTCCGAAAATCAATAAACAAAAAGCAAGGTATTACAGCAATTGGAGGAACATCAGCAATATCTACTGAGGGGACACAGCACTCTTATTCAGGTAAGAAATAATTAAACACAAGCAAATTTTGCATGGAGGAAGACTCTTTAAATTTGCACTACAGATGAAGAAAAAAACAACTGGAGAAAGTTGCTGTTGAAAGCAAATTAACACAGAGAAAGCATGTGGGGATGGACAACCTAAGTGTGGGTGGTAGTTTATTAAAATGTGGGCTGTTCAGTTGTTAGTTTCATGCTGCACTCAGAGGCATCTTTGCCAGAGCAAAAAATGAAAGCATGTGGGGGAAAAAAAAATGGCCCCTTTGGCATACTTCTAGTAATGCTAGTCAAGTTTTTTGGCTTCACCACATGCTAGTCTATTCTTATTCCTGTATTCACATAAAAATGAATCCCCGTTTTCATTTCCACGGTGTTAACTAAAATGAAAAAAAACCCCACATATCGCTTCTGGACGGAAGGGCCTCCTCAGCTGTCTCTGTGCCATTACAGAACTGTTCACTCCCATATGATTTTTGCATAGCCTGTCTTATACTTGAGAACTTGCTTTTAATATTTGATCTCTATTTCTTTCTACTTCCCCCTGCTGCATGTCATTTAAGTTGGTAATTGTGCCTAATTGCATTGCAGCTCCTGGTCAGAATGTTAACTACATTCCAGGATCATATTGCAATAAACAATATTGCAACTGTTTTGATTGACTCAAATCTGGGATTTGCTGTGGTTCCAGATGTGTGTTAAGATTCGATATATGAGGAAGATTCACTTCAATTAGCTAAAGGCGGTGATATTCTCTCTCTAGGTATTATCCTTATAGCACCAGCTGCACTTGGTATATCTCCAAAGCAGGGGATATATTCCATCTCAGAGGATGGCTGTAGGGGGGACACCATCAGAGCTAATTGTTTAGACTCCCTTTCATTTTTGGTAGAGAGAAACAGACTCCACTAGACTGCAATTCATCTGACCTGGCCTCATCAGCTGTCTAGTTTATGATCAGATGAAGTGTGCACTAGAATTTCCTGTTTCTTCCTACTGACAATGAAAGAAGTGTAGTGAGTCAGGTGTAGGTACCTGTCTTGTATGCTTCTCGAGGTAAGTGAGGTGAATACTACCTGTACTGTCTGGTAATTTGGATACTGATACTTGATTGATTGTTGTCCCAATAAGCATTCTTAAACACACAGTTATAAATTCTGCACTAAATATGAAAAAGAATTTAAAAATGAGGTACTAAACTTTTTTAAGTTTCTCTAAAGCTAAATACGGCACAGTAATTCAGATGATGGTCTCAAAAATACTGCCAGTTTCTGAAGTCCTAGTAGAAGGCAGAATGAAATGCTGCATTTTAAAACAACGGTGTACAGATTGAGATGTTGCATATTTCAGATCACAAATTTCCCTCTTTTCATTGTAATTGCTGAGAAACTGAATTCAAAGTCAGCCGTGATGACCCATTACGTTGCTATGATTTTTATGTTGTCCTTCAGAAAATCACCAGATGTTCAGAGAGTGCAGTAGGGGAAAGATCAATGTGTACTTGCCCTTTTTTGTGTGCTTTCCCACTGGTCTGATTCTTTCCATAACTGACCCCTGTGAAATTAAGGGATTTTGTTGCAGATGAACCTCTTTGACCCAAGTCTGATGTTTAGTAGTATATGTTCATGGAAATGATGATAGATTATTTTAATGCTGTTTTTCTTTTCAGAGGAAGAAAAAGTTGCTTTTGTTAATTGGATAAATAAAGCTCTACAAGATGACCCGGACTGTAAGCACCTCCTACCTATGAACCCATCAGATGCCAGTCTTTTTAAATCCCTTGCAGATGGCATCCTTCTTTGGTGAGTCCAGGGCTGTGAGAAAAGAAATTAATCTCAAAGGTTAAATGCTGATCACAGTGACATGAATTGGGAAACTTCTGATAGGCTTTAATGTCAGGACTCTACTCTTAAATTTTTCAACCAATGTGTAGGATGGGGAAAATCTGTTTGCCCGTAGAAATGTTATTTTTAGCAGATTTTTTTATGTGACTCTGTGCACATATTACAGAAGTGGGTTCCCACTTCAGATCCGTAATTATACACATCAGATATGTGCAAGCTGTTTGCAAAGGAGATAATTACACAGTTCATATATTCATTAGCTGAAATAATTAGAAATCTTTGCTATTTCAAATATTCTTAAAAGTTACTAAGTATAGTTATTAAATCATAGGATGGGAGGAACACGAATCTGAATTAAATCTATGGTAAGACAGAGAGCATATAGTAGGTCCCTCAACTTTAGTCTGCTGTAACTTTCTAATTAGTTAAAGTAGAGTAATAGTACTTATTCATGCACCATGGTAACAAGGTGTCATGAAAGGGGTGATTTACAATGCTTAAGGAATCACTGACAGAGGTATTACCAAAAGTGGTTTTAATGTGACACTGTAGAAGTGCGACTTAACAGAGTTCCATGGCAAGGTTCACCTATTAATTACTGCATGGAAGAATCATACAAAGGAAAATTGAGTTACATTCGAGTTAGAATGATTCACAGAGAGATCAAAGATGCAGAGAGTAATGAAGACCCTCCTGTTGAGTCATGAGGTTCAGAGTAGACCCCCTTACTTTCTAAACTCCGAATGGAGCTTAGGTGCGGCTAGGTCCCATCCTAGTCTCAGACTTGGACAACAGTTTATGTCTAAGAGAAGAAATACAAAGAGTAAGGAGGACCCTCCCGTTGAGTCATGAGGTTCAGAAAGGACCCCCTTGCTTTCTAAACTCCTTCCTCAGAGAGGAGTCCAGGTGCGGCTGGATCTGAGATCCAATCCTAGTCTCTGTCTTGGACAACAGTTTATGTCAAAAGGATTATAATGTTTCATTAGCATTAATTCAGCATGCAATCGAAGTTACCAAGACAAAATCAAAGTTACCATACGTGCGATATCAGTCGCTTAACAAAACAAAGATCTGTGTAAAAGGTCTCTCTGCCGCGAGGAGCAACCTTGAGAGGTGTCCCAGGGAGGGGAGATCACCGCCATGCAGCCACACTGCCTAGCAGGGAGAGCTCTAAAAAGGCTCACTTAGGCTGTCATATTTATAGTGTAAAGTGGTTGGCTTGTAGTCAAATTACATGCGATAGAAAAGGTATGCAGGAGTCTCCTTGTTACCCACAGCTTTCTCTGTTCCTTGGTAAAGGAGTTGCGCTGTTCCTTTGTGGGTTTTCAGAGAACAGATTGAAACTAGAGGAATTCATGGCCCATCTACAGCTCAGGCCTTTATCTCTTTCAGAGCCTGCACCAAACCACGGCCAGTCTGGTCAAGGGGTTAAGTGCATCCATCACACAAGGGATTAGTTTATTAGTATTGATGTGAATTAGTCTTTGAGATCCCTGTAGATGCAAGACACTATAGAAATGCAGTGCAGAAGTATATTGGGTTATATTACAAAGATTTTTACTAGCAACTATTTAACTGTCTTTACAGTTTTAATTTTCTCAATAACTTTTTTTTGACAGCACAGACATGCTCTGCTACTTAAGTATAAAACCCAGCTGCTCAAGTTTCTTATAATTACGTGTTATCTGGAGGTTTCTGAATGAATGTGCAATTATTTAACAGGGAGAGGAGATTTAGAGGATGAGGTGGTCATTTTTTATCTTGTTAAAATATTTACAGCTAGTTTAAAGTGTTTAGGAGTTCATAATCAAATAATATATATTTTCTGAGAAGTGAAAGTTTTGATAATCTCTGACTTATTTTCCTTAGCAAAATGATCAACTTTTCACAACCAGATACAATTGATGAAAGGGCTATTAATAAGAAGAAACTCACTCCTTTCACTGTTTCTGTAAGTACTGCACAGATAGGAACTTGCCACAAATGAAAAAGTAAAATATTTTTCTATAGCTTTGTTTTAATGACAGTTCTTCTGATGGAGAAAAAAAAAGTCCTATGTATTAAAAAATGTCAATGCATGAAATTGTATTTTTCTAATAAACTCTGCTGAATTCTCCTGTTTCTTAGATGATGTACAGGAAAACTGGTATTTTTCATGCTTTCCTTAGTTTGAGGAAATTACGCCACCATGCGCTATTTTCATTTTGCTTTACTAAGTATCTGAAGAAAATAACTTTAGACTTCTGAGTGGATGGTCAGGTTGTATTTTAGCAATGCAGAAAGTATCTGCATGGCTGTGTACTGTGTAGTACGATGATGCATTTTCAGTAGTGGAGAGTGGCTTGGACAGAAGATGAGAAGCTCTATTTTTAAATGTGTATGAAGTCATGAATATATTTGAGAGAAACAGTTTTTAAGACCTCAGTTTGGGTATAAGAAAACAGGTCTGGAAGAGGGAAGTAGATCCATACGTCACCAGCCTAATGAGGAGAAAAAAAAAAAAAAAACAAACCTGATTAAAATCCTCAGTTAATTGGCAGCCTTTTCATTTCAGGCTGTGACATTAAAATATGAAAAGTGAAAACATACCATGTTCTAAATCCTCCAAGTGGGTTTTGTAATCTCTGCTTAGTTAAAGATGTGTCAGCAAAGATGATACTGCATGTGCTTGTCGTCTCCATAGATAGTTAAAACATGACACAAGGAAATAGAGAGTAATACTTAAAGAGCTGCCAGGTATTTTTTCTTGGAATGTTTCATCTGTGACAATCATTAGCTTTACTTTCAGTGTCAGGATGTTGAATTGCCGTGATTTTCCTATGCTGTCTGTTCAATTACCGGCTGACCCATTTATCCAAGCCGCTCTTAAGCTGTATAAGATCCAAGGTGGGATGACAGTGATGTCAGTAGCCTCCTGCACAGGGCAGAATTCCACATGAGCATGTCTTTCCACAGGATCAAGCCCCTGATATTTTGACCAGTATTGTTTAATTTGTGTATGTGATACTTCGGAGTTACAAAAATATTCTGATTAGCGTATTCCTCAGCAATCCAAGCTGCAGAAGGTGGTCCATGATTTTTTGGTGGGTCCATGTTAAACACTGTCAATAATGTTTTCTGTTAAATTTTGATAAGATACGTGGTGGTTCACAGAAAAATCTCCAGAGTGCCATTTTCCACTGGGAACCATTGAACTAATGCATTATTTCTTATAACTTCCAAAACTTGCAAACTTTAACATGAACAAATTTGCTAAGAATTACAACCTCATAAATTTGTTAAACAATGATATTCCAAATAGGAAAACCTAAACCTGGCTCTGAACTCAGCATCTGCTATTGGATGTACAGTTGTCAATATTGGATCACAAGATTTGCAAGAAGGAAAACCACACTTGGTGTTAGGACTCTTGTGGCAGATCATTAAAGTTGGTCTTTTTGCTGATATTGAGATCTCCAGAAATGAAGGTAAGGGAAATGCCAGGTATAGCAATGTCTGCAATTTGGAATTAACTGAGATCACAATAGCAATGATTTCAGCTTTCTTTCAAACTTGCTTTTAGCTCTTATCACCTTGCTAAATGAAGGGGAAGAACTAGATCAGTTAATGAAGCTTTCCCCAGAAGAGCTCTTGCTACGCTGGGTGAACTACCATCTGGCCAATGCAGGGTGGCAGAAAATCAATAACTTCAGCCAAGACATTAAGGTATGTAGTTATCGCTCTGATAATTGAACATAATGGTATTTAAACACAATATGCATAGAAACAAATGAGTCAGATCAGAAGTGTTTAGAATTGTACTCATCTGCTTTTTATAGCTATAGGTTCATCCTGCATTTTTCAACACTGAAAGAGCATTATTTTGATCTCTCATATCCTATTCAGTTGCTTATACCATGTACTATCACATCACAGTGTAAAATGAACATTTCCAACAAGCTCATATTCAGGGAAGTTCTAATGTTCTAAGGTTTTTATTAGAGTTACTTAGGACAATTCGCGCTACCTTATTAGTTACCTTTTTCTTGTCCATCCTTCCCTGCTCCTGGGTCTGTGGAAACCCATCTTTTCTTCCTTTTGTTTTATGGAAGAAGCGTATGGTTTTAAATCTCCTCCCGGTGCATATTTGCTAATGGTGATTGGCCTTCGTACCTAGCATTCTACAGAAGAGTAGGAAACCTCTTGAGGAAAGAACAGTTATTCAGAGGGCTGTCTGAAGTAGCTACTGATTCTTGATCCAAGGAGAGAGCAGCCCCCCTCAATCACTGTGCTTTGCTGGTGTGCCAGTTTACTGACACAAGGGGACTGAAAGGCATGTTGGTGCCTTGGGGCAGATGGCAGATCTGCATAATTCTTTTCTCTTCTTCAGTCATTCTGTATAAGGTATGCAGAGCACTGTAGTAAGTCCAGTTGAAGAGAGAAAAACCCAACTTTTTAAAGCTAAAAGCAAAGGAGGAAGATTCCCTAAGGTGATAAGACCTCTTTTCACTGAAGAAAGCCATGCCATTAATTGCTAGTTATATCTCTTCAAATGCCACCAAGGCGGCTATTATTAAAGCAAACCTGCAACTAGGGTTTTATATGAGAACTGCTACTATGGTAAAAATATTACATGCTATTTAGGAGAAGTATTGAATACTTCTAAAACTAGCAGGTTTTTGTTTTATTTTCCTAGTTTCTTAGTGGGGAAAAAAAACAGAAGGGTACTGAAAACTGCATCAAATAAATGTAATTTCTTTTATCACCATAGATTCATCCTGAAAGAGCCAATTTGCTCTCCATTTTTAATTCCAATTACCTTGTTGATTAAGGAAGACCAAAATTTTTATAAAACTGTCTATTTGAAAAGGATAGTGAAGGAATAAAATACCAATACTGAAAATAAGATCCATAATGAGATTTTTTTTTGTGGGTAACCTATATAAATTTGCCTTAAATACCTGAATTACAGCTGTCTAGTTCACATCCAGCAGAAAAAAATTTAACTAACGTTGTCCAGAATAATTAGCAGACATTTCCTTTTCTCTGTCATCTGGCTAAATAAGTTCTATGAGAAAAAATGTAGTAAAATGGCTGTATGACCTCATCCATGTTCACTGAAATTAGGATGCTATATTTTTTTACTTCTGTGGCTTTTGAATTGAACTATAAAAGCAGTAAATGGCTAAGAAAGGCTACATACTTGCTCATACTTTTTAAAATATTACACTGCTTGTTTTAGGATTCAAGAGCATACTACCATCTGTTAAATCAGATTGCACCCAAAGGAGATGATCTTGATGAACTGCCCATTAAAATTGACTTTTCAGGATTTCATGTAAGTATCCAGAAACATAAGAATAGACTGGAATTATCTGAGACCTCTATGTATGCATCCAACATCCTGGTTACAAGGCTGTCCTAGAATCCCCTTTTGTTTTGTGACACATACAAAAGCTCAGTCAGATTCCTCAATGTCACAAAAGCTTAAATGGGTGAAAACTTGAGTAAAGTTCCAGGGTGCTGCTGAAACAGGATAATGCATCCTGCAGTCTAAAATTTGGAGCTATGTTTTACTTGGAGTAGTGTCTAACCATTTTTTATTTTCAGTTGGGTCCTCCAACGTGAATATTACAACATCCTGCTTCAGTTCTGCTCTTCTGGAATTCAGACAAGGAGAAAGAGTAGATTTCACAAACCTTGTGATCCTTCCTCAAACCATATAGCATTCAGAAATAACACGTGAGCTGTTCCAATAACCACCAGGAAAGTGGGGCAACCATCAGGCTTTAAGTTGTAAAGGGATAGAGGGTCTAAAACCAGCCTAGGTAGATCTGAAAACACTTTTCACTAAGCTGCTACATAATGCTCGTTGGAAGGATTATTCTGCATTTGACAAAAATTGAACTGCATGCCTAAGATATAGATATCTATATATCAATCAGAATCTTAACTAGAATCTCGTTATTCATTATAATAATGAAAACCCACATGCAAAGTTTTATTTGCATACAAGCTTTAGTCTTCTCAAACTCCTTCATGAGGAGAGCTCTGTTTTATTTGTTTGCTTTTGTTTTGGCATTTTTTTGGGAGTGAGAAAGCATAGTAGTTCATTTTTCCCTGTAATTTCTTACAGTTCATATGATCATGTTCTGTAATGGGTTATAAACCAGTATCAATAACATGTAACAACTTGTTCTAGAGCAAGTTTCTGGTTGAGTATACCAATGCTGAATTACTGACTGTTATTCAATTGTGACAGTAATTCAATTACTGACTCATTTCCCTATGAATAGTAACTCTTAGTGTTGTGAAGATCAGAGGCAAAAAGTATATGCTACATGGTTTTGAAGACTGATTTATTCTATGTAGATTAATAATAAGGACAAATAAACAAAATAACACATAGGTTATTGACTTAAGACAATTCAGAGGCAAAAATATTAAAAGGAAAGCAAGGTAGTGGATTATCACATTCTGAAGCATTAAAATTCTTATTGAGGGTGTCTTATTTGGGCGTCATCTGTAATTACTGTGCTTCAGAATATCAGTTTAAAGCAGTGAGGGTGAACCTATGGCACATGTAGCAGAATACGCAGTGCAGGAATCAACAGCCTGGAAACGGAAATATAACTACTACACCTCTGGCTGCTACTGCTGTTGCTGTGGTTCATGAGGAATGCTGTGCAGGCAGCCACAGAAGCAAAGGACAGAAAGAAAGTGGAAGGAAGATGGGAAGAAGGGAATTATTATGGGCTGTAAGAGCTAGCTCAGGCATTGGGAGAATGAGGGAAGAACTGACACGGGTCACTTAAAGATTTGCTGAACTGAAGATTCAGTAAAGAATGGAAACATGCTAGTATTCATTATAAATTAATTGTGTTGTTTTTTTTTTTTTTTCTTTTAGGATAAAAATGACTTGAGGAGGGCTGAATACATGCTCCAACAGGCAGATAAATTGGGCTGCAGACAGTTTGTAACTCCAGCTGATGTGGTTGCAGGCAACCCTAAACTCAATTTGGCTTTTGTTGCAAATCTCTTTAACACATATCCAGCCCTACACAAGCCTGACAATTCATCTTACGATCTCAATTTATTAGAAGGTACTCAACTTACTAAGCATACAGAGGATAAGAATATTAGTGATTTCTATTTAAGTATTCCTTCTAGGTTGTAATATAGGATCCCTGTGTGATGGTGCCTGTATTAACAGCAGCATGTAGAGCTTTCTCACTAGCTCTTGATATAAGCCTTAGTAGAAGTCCCCGTTGCTGTGAATATTGTTCACTTGTGTTAGTCCAACCAAAGGCTATTCCTGAATAACCTTCTGTCATTTGTTTGCAGGAGCAAAAACTGTCCTCTTACTCCCCTTCCGGTTTCCTGTGCTTCTTTCCATACCTTTTATATTTTAGCTGATGCACAAATTCTAGCCTTCCCTAATTTGCAGTGCTATAATATGCAACTACAATAGTCTTTTAAAGTACTTTTCATGTATTGTGTTTATATATATATATATATATATGTGCATATGTTTACTAGTTTGTTTGCCTTTTAAAACAGGAAGCATTAAAAAAAAAGGCTTCTGTATCAGCAACTTATATAGATCCTAGCATATCAGCAAGTTTGGACTTTAACTGTACAGTTCAGATCCCTAATGCTAGAGAGAAAGGGATAATTGGTAGCAATCTTTGGCTGTTACCCTTTCTGTGGACCAGCTAATTTAGGATAATGAAATGGCTCCTGCCAGTGTATTTCACAGTTGTTCACTGATCTCAAAGGAATGGTGAGAATCAGGGGTGCCGCACTCGGGAGAATCATCAGCAATGTTCACATATTCCTCTGCACTGCCTACTCCTGCCTTCCTCTTACTGTTCCTATCAGGTTTCCTTTCCATCTAGGTGAGTCCATCTTCCTTTGCTCCTCTTTTTTTCATAATTTGTCTGCTCTGCTGCATCCCTGTTTCACAAGTCTTGTATCCCTCAGACCACTCCCGTTTCAGGCTTCCTGCTCTTCTAGTATCAGCTGGGTGCCACCTGTGGTAGAGGTATCAGAACACAGGAGGTAGTCTTTCAGCTCTGATATCCCTAGTCACTGCAGTCCCTGCTACCCAGGACAAATGATTGAAGGAAAGGCCTATTCTTCCTCTGCTGCAATTTTGTTAGAAATATATGCTCTTGGAAATGTATACAGGAGCTGCGTGGAGGTGGAATATGTTCTGTTGAGCTTCTCTGTTCTGAATATAAAGTTGCAGGTGTGATTTGAAATCCTGAAAACGTGGTCAAATTTAGAAGAGTTTTCATTGGCCTGGCAAAAAACAGCTGAAATACTTTCTGAACTTTCCTAAAATATTTTGAGGAGATCAAAGTCTCAGCTAAAACAGTTTGTAAAAAGTTACAATCGCCTGAATGCTAGATTATGATTTTGTAATGATAAATATTGGACCAATTTAACTCTACTGTTTATAGTATATATTTTAGATATGGATAATCATGCCAATGTTATCTGTTCAAAGGCAAGTAGACAACTGTCCTTTGCCCCAAAATACTAATTCCTGTGGTGTCATGTAGATCTAAATCATCAAAATAGTTATTTCAACCAAAAGACGATGTTGTTAATGTGTTTTTCTGTTAATTTGTTTTATTTTTTCCATAAAATCCTGTGGTTTTACTGATGTTTTCTCAAGGTAGTGTTACATAAAATATAAGACATTCAGTTCTTTATAGTTTCGTCATAGATTGTCTGTTGAAATCTGACTCATAATTTATAACGCTTTCCTATTTTGCTTCATGAAATGCAGATTTGACCCCTCCTAATGTAGGTACTGTATTTAGTACTTTTCTGTACTCCATCAAAGTGTTTATTCTGCAATTCTTCTCCCCCCCACCCCCAGTGTTTTAATCATCTCTGTCCTTTTCTGGATGATTGGTTGATTTTTGCATTGTTCTTGTATTTTTCTATTGCTTTAATATGCCGTCATAAGTAAAAGAGAAGGAAGAAAAAAAAAAAAAAAAAACAACAAAACCCCGCAGGTCTAACATGATGCATATAAAATGGGGGTAGGACTTGCAGTAAGTCAAATGCCATATAGTTCTTCCTGTGGGTTTAACCAGTAGGGGCCTTCCATGAACCAAGATGTAAAGGTCTAGGCATGTGTGGGTGAGTAGAGCTTTCCGAAAGTCTTGATTTTCCTACATTAAATTCCATCTTTTCAGTGACTGTTCCACCCAAAAATTACAAATGGCTGTTCTCTTTGGTTTAAGACAACGAACACTGTGCACAAATTGACATCTGCTCTGATAATGCTTAACAAGTCTGGTGATGTGCACTTATATACAGAGAGAATATTCCTCAGGTATACTGACATAGCAAAATCAACATTTGATACTATGTGGGGATGGAGGGGGGAGTCCTGACCTCAGTCAATGCATGACCTTTCACTGGGTGTTGCTGTTGCTCTGAGGAACCTCTCATTTGTGGGGAAGGCAGTAGAGTTTGGAGTCTAAGTCCCATAGAAAGCTGAGTCCTTGGGGGGAGGAAGAGGAGGGACTTCTGTCCACCCGCATTCCCTCCAGTGTAGATGTCCTCTGCTGCTATTGCTTAGTCCACTGGCAGCCTTCAAGGCTGTTATGACAAGAGGGTTAACTACTCCCACTCAGGCCAGCTGAACCTAGGGTGCAAATTGCATCTTGAGCTCTGTTGATTTTCAGAGAGAACTGTAGGTATTTGGAGCCCTTTAGATTCTTGATCCCATCCCTAAGGCTACTCCCCACTCAGTTCGATAGTATAATGATCTCAAAGAAAGAGATGGCAATAAATATAAAGGATACTACCAAATTTGCTCCTCTCTCTTTTGTGTAGCTCTGCCCCCTTTCTGCAGTTTTCCAATGATTTTGGCTATCTGCTGCACCACTCAGCAGAAGATATGCTCCTGGTAGGATCACAAGGTATATTTTGAATAAAAGAATAGAGAGAAAAAATTGGTCAATTCCCATCCATCTGGAAAACTTATGAATGCTTATGTGTTGCATGATGAAGGGATTTGTTTAGAGTGGCATATTAAATATAGTGTGCTGGGTTTAGTTCCTGTATTCCCACTATTGCAAAAGGGTGCTGCCCAACTTGCATGCTCCTGCTCCTGCTTGGCTACTTTGGATTCTTTTGACAGTGTTAAGCATGCATTTTAAAATTCTCAGTCTGAGTGCAGTTGCTGAGTATCTGGTTTTGTAGCTACGCTTGGTTTAGTAAGAGTTCATTAAATAATCTTTGCAACGGACAAGTGTTTCTAAAAGCACTTTGCATTCAGTATTTTGGGTATTGCAAACCAACTCTCAAAGCTCAGTAAGCCTAAAAACTTCAAAAAAAGAAAAAAAAGCAAAAGGGACTTGCTTCAAAATACTATAACCTCTTAAGTTACTCTTTATAAACTTAAGTTATATCTCATGCTTGTATTTTGAATGTATCTTCTTATGGAAAAATGCTTATATTTTTGCTAACTTTGTCATAAAATGTGATTCTTCGTTGTCTTTTAAATTTTGTTGTGGGAAGAAATACGTGAAACAAAGCTGACTACCTGAAGACCTTGCAGAATAGTATTTTTCTTTGTTTCAGCATGTATTCATCAGTGACTCTTTGGTAATTTTTACAAGTAAATCTTCGAAACAAATACTAGTTTGAATTGCATATGAAAGACCTCATAATTTAGAAAGAAAATATAGCAGTAGGATGAATATTATCTATTTCATAATAATTGGAAAGTAACTGGTAAGCTGGCTGAAGCTTTTTAAATAAAATTTATTCTGTTAGAAAATGTCTATTACAGATGAAATTTCTGAATTTAAATTTTTATAAATATATTTTGAAGTTCAGAGCTCTTTGTATAAAAGGGGAAGAGACCTAAATTAAAATTGTAACCTCGATCTAAAAATCAATGTTATGACATAGGTCTATTTGATGGAAAAATAATATTAAAGAGGTTTTCTTTCTATTCTAATGATAAATACATGTTTATACAGTAGCTTCATTTTGCAAAACATTCATTGTTCTGTAGTCAACATAGAACTGCAATACTAAATGAGACAGTTTTCATGCTACGTAAACCTCATTAGACAAACTCAGTACCATTATCCTCTAAGGAACAAATGAAAAAAGCAAAGAAAAATCTTACTCAGGTTTTTGCATGTTTCAGTCCTGAGAAATCTGTTCTTTCATTGTTTGGGGAGGTTTTGTCCCTCCTCAATGTCCTTTCTGTTTTCTTAACTGTGGATTATCAGCCCCCGGGGAGCAAAGCAATGAGGTTATTCCAAGTTCACATATTCAGGCTAAATATTTTCTTAAATGCTGTTCTTTGATGTAAGAGGAAACAGCTTATGCAACACTGATTCACATGCAATTGGCGACAGATACATTGTTAAAATTTATGTAATGTTGTATATAGAAAAGTAATGTATTACTGCAAACTGTAACTTTATGTTTTAGGAACTCACGATTACAATAGATAAAAACAATCTAAGTCAGGAAAGTGAAGGTCTTTTTTTATTTTTTTTTTTTCCTACTGAATTTTCTGCATTTCTCATAAGCAGGCTTGCTAGTTAAAACTGCAAGAATAACTAGCCCCTTTGGCAGTATAAATAGCTTCAAAAATTTAACTGAATTCACAAATTAATACTGGGAATGTCTGTGTGGAGGGAAGTGGAGCTGTAGTTTCTGCAGTTTGGTGCAATTGCAATAAGCATGTTAGTGCTAACTTTTAATAAAAATATGCTGTTTCAAACAGATTTAAAGATACCATTGAATGCAATTTCCACTGATTTTGGGTTTAGGAAATTATTATTAATCATCACTATTTTCTCCATGATATATTAATTATCTGAAATATAACCAAACAAACTGTCTATTTCTGTATGTTATCAAATTGTATTTACACAGAAAAATGTAGTCTAATAGTACTCCCTGTAGTGCCTCTGGCCTTGTGCCCAGAACTGAGGGACTCTGAATTTGATAGAATTGCCTTGACTTGTTGGCCAGCAGGGACTACTGTTAGGGAAAGGATCAACTCCTTTGGGCGGGGGGGCAGAGGGGTGTGAGAGTCATTTAAACAGGGCTTATTAAAGTGTTTTCTCCAGTAATTTATATAGAATTATATTTGTCACCATAGGAGAAAGTAACGAAGAAAGGACTTTCAGAAACTGGATGAATTCACTGGGTGTAAGCCCATATGTTAATCATTTATACAGGTAAGGCTTTTTTTTTTTTTTTTTTTTTTTAAACAATAATTGAATTTCTCTTGGATGACAGGGGAAGAAAGAAGAAGGGAAGAAGAAAGGTAACTTGTATTTCTACTAGAACAGTGATTTCCAGGTTTCCACACAGGGTGATAGGAACTTCAAAACTGGTCTGTAGAACTGCATTAAGCAGTATCTGACTCAAATACTCCACTCATGATCTAGAAATACTAGAAAATCTACAAAGTTTTTATGTGCTCCCCTCACTCGTACTTTGAATTTTTTTTTAAAAAGTTGAAGTAATTATGTTTTATAATGCATGGTTTTTATTTTCTCTCATGACTGATGAAATGACTGCAAACCTATTAAAACAGTAATGCAATTCTAAACTATAAGAAAGGGTAGATGTCTGCTGAGTAGACTGTAAGAATCTATGCAGTGTGGTATTCCCTCAAAACAAAGGGCTTGTTAGCATGCTTTTTAGATGCTTCTGATCATTTCCAAATTGTGCCAGCAGTTGATTCAAATCCTATAAATAAAAGATGGGATATAGGGAGCAACTGGGAACATCTGCTTGCATGTATACTTGCTGTTAGGTTTCATTGTTTCTGTTTTCTGACCTCTGTGAAGTGAAACTTTCTGTAGGTAGCTTAATGTGGAGAGAGAATTTCATTTAGCAAGTAGCTGGAGGGATTATCAGGAATGCAGTTTATAATGGGAAAATAATACTTTTTCTAATATTCTTTTTTCACGAGATAAGTATATTGGTTTTGATTATTCTTTAGAAAAATATTGGCTTTGATTATTCTTTAGTAAAAATAGGTGCAGATAAAGCGTAAGTATTTAACATTTTGGAAAATTCTGAGGAAACTAAAACTATATCAATAAATGAAAAATCTTTAGCTAGATGTTTTATCTATTCCTACTCTATGAAAGCAATTGTTTAACTAAAGTTGGTAAAACCAGTGGCTGTGCTTACTTCACTGAGACTTGTGAAAATAATGAAATTAAATATACAATTTAATGTAAATAACTGCAGAAATCAAGCAATAGGATATAGGCCAGTTTCTCCACAGAATGACACAAATTTTTATTTATGTGACTGGAATTTTTCAGCAACTTACTCGAGACTTCTCAAAGTGTAATAACTTAACATTTTCATTGTGAATATGAGCTTTTGTACTTAAAAACATTGCTTTATTCTGGTTTAGTGACCTCTCTGATGCTTTAATAATCTTCCAATTGTATGATATGACTCGTGTGCCGGTTGACTGGAACCATGTCAACAAACCTCCGTATCCATTACTTGGTGGTAATATGAAGAAGGTGGGTAGATACTCTGTAACACAGTCCTGTCTCCCATTGTGCTGTTCGTAGTAATCTGGGTTGTCTATGTTTGCGTGCTACTGAGACAGTCCTGGCAAAGGGAAAAAAAAAAGCGGGGAAAAAAAAATCTTCCAGATACTATCCCAAGGAATAAATAGCACTTATAGCATATATCACTTCAGTTTCTAAATGTAGACACCTTTTGGCAATATTTAATTTAGTGTCTAATTAGGGTATATAAGTAAAAGTTTCAGGTCTGACACAGCTATCGTTGCCTGATGCTCTTCATTGTGATGTGTGTCCTCACAGAGCAGTTTTATATGCTGCCAGGAGAATTTGTGCAAGACTTGCAGAATCCAAGCTTTCAGTTAGTTTTGTGATCATTATGAAGCCAGAAATGTAGAGGGGAAAAAAAAATTACTGTCTTCTTAAGAACAAGCCATTTCAATATTTTTCCAAATTCAGTTTTGATGTAAGTATATGTTAATTCATTGACTTTAGAGAAAGTGAAGTTGGTTTTCTCAAGTGTGAAAAAAGATTATCATTGGAGTCTTGCATACTTGCATTTATAGTAAAAACTGTGTCATTTTAATCACAGTGTAGAAAGGCTAGAAGTCTTTCTCTAGCGCCAGATCTCAACATAGGTAACAGTAAGCCAAAGTAATTCAAAATACACATAGATTATAGGTCTATATTATAGAAATATTAAGGTGTTTTCATTATTTGCACACAACATTTATTTTTAGATTGAGAATTGCAATTATGCAGTAGAACTCGGGAAGACAAAAGCCAAATTCTCACTGGTTGGTATTGCTGGACACGATCTAAATGAGGGTAATCCAACTCTGACTTTGGCTTTGGTATGGCAGCTGATGAGGAGGTAAGTTAGGCACATTATATGATAGATGCGTACATATATGTGTCTGTGCATGTGTGTATATGTGTGTGTGTCTGTATATCAAGGCAAATTAAAGCTAGCGTTCAGTTCACCCAACGGGTATTTTATAGAGCCATCTCTAAATATCCCTCTTCTCCAAGATAAACTCTTATACATTTTTTTTTTTTTGTAGTTTTACATACTGTTTAGTGATTGAAACCATAATAGTGTATGTGTACCCATTATTTTATAGAGACAATTAAAATCTTAGACTAAAAACTGTGATTAAAATTATAAATCCTGTAGCAAATAAAAAGGGCACAACTTATTTCGTGTTGATTCCATGTATCTTTCTGTAAGTAGAGAGTAATTTAAATATTTGTAAAATCAAAAAAGAAAGATAAATAGGAAGAGGTGATGTATGCTATAGAAGTTAAAATAGGAAGAAATTTTTAGGCCATCACAGCTATAGTAATGTAACTTATAAAATCAAAATCTTGCTAGTGCACCGAGCAGGAAAAAAAATTATAAATTGATTTCAATAAAGAGTATTTTATTGCAAATATTTTCCACAAGTTAATTTTCTTACACCTACTGCGTAATGATTTTTTTCTCATGCTGTTATGATTCAGTTTTCAAGGTGACTTGGATGGTAGGGAGCCATTTAAGCTTATAACGTAAAATTAGTTATGATGTGCTGAGTAAAACAAATACATGAAGATGATGTAACAGTGAATATTATGAGGTTTGGGATTCTTGCAACAACTGAAAAAGTGATTTAAAGTACCAAATAGTTTATAAGGTAAGGGTACCTTATGAAGATCAGCACAGTAACAACGTCAAGTACTTAAGTAATATTTTACTTTTGCTTGTAGCTTGATACTGTTAGCAAAGCCAAGTTCTACCACTTACTTTAACTCAGACTCTTATCTTCTTTATTAAAGGTATACTTTGAACGTACTATCAGACCTTGGAGAGGGAGAAAAAGTAAATGATGAAATTATTATTAAGTGGGTGAATCAGACACTTGCAAAAGCAAATAAGAAAACTTCAATTACAAGTTTCAAGGTAATAAAATTAATTTACTTTTCTTCTTTCCACATAAAGTCAGATATGGGATTTTTAACCTGATCTGTTAACAATTTGGCTTTAACAGTGACTCTCCCATCAGCTAGCATAATTGTATAAGGAAATATTTCTGGCAGTCTGTGAATCTCCAAAAGTATTTTACAAGTCTATTAATAAGAAACAAAAAGAAATTATAATTGCTGCTGTAAGATCCAAAACAAAACAAAAAAAAAACAACAACAAAAAAAGGCTAAACTTTCAAAGGGGCTTCTGTCTGAAGTTCAGGCATGGCATGTAATGTTTCTGCCAAAATTTTGGATATAGGTACTCTCATGCTTTTACAAACATGAAAAACAATTTTGGAAATACTGGGGCCGGGGGTGGGAAATCACCATGTTTAGTAACAGCTGGTCAAAAACATGTACTCATGCGTGGCAGAGCCAGGAGACGGAGCCCTAGTTAACCAACGACGTCTTTTGTCATCATTGGCCCTGCTGATGTGCAGCAGGCCTGAATGAAACAGGAACTTTTCCCATTCAGCAAATATGAGCAAATTGATAAAGGAAGCTTTCCTTTCACATTTTTAAAGTGTTAGACACAAAATAAGTCATATGTATGTGGTGTGGTTTAACCCCAGCCGGCAACTAAGCCCCACACAGCCACTCACTCACTCCCCCCCGCATTGAAAAGGGGAGAGAATCGGAAAAGTAAAAGGGAGAAAACTCATGGGTTGAGATAAAGACAGTTTAATGGGTAAAGCGGAATCTGTTCGCGCAAGCAAAGCAAAACAAGGGCTTCATTCACTACTTGCCATCGGCAGGCAGGTGTTCAGCCATCTTCAGGAAAGCAGGACTCCATCATGTGTAACGATTCCTTGGGAAGACAAACGCCATCACTCCAAATGTCCCCCCCCTTCCTTCTTCTTCCCTCAGCTTTATATGCTGAGCATGACATTATATGGTACGGAACAGCCCTTTGGTCAGTTGGGGTCAGCTGTCCCAGCTGTGTCCCCTCCCAGCTTCTTGTGCACCCTCAGCCTCCTCACTGGTGGGGTGGGGTGGGAGGCAGGAAAGGCCTTGACTCTGTGTAAGCACTGCTCAGCAATAGTGAAAACATCCCTGTGTTATCAACCCTGTTTTCAGCACAAATCCAAAACATAGCCCCATACTAGCTATGATGAAGAAAATGAAGTCTACCCCAGCCAAAACCAGCAGAGTATGCCAGGTGTGTCATGCTGAATCTCATTCTTTAGAAATGGTAGATTAATAATTGCACTTGCATGCAAATGTAACATTCTTATAGAGGTTCACTGTATACTCTGAAACAGTTATGTCTGTGGTTCACACCAGGAATGTAAGAACCTAGCAAGTTAAATATTTGAGACCTCACTGTGTTATGAAATTGAATTAGGTAAGCATTAGGCAAAAGGTAATATCAAATAATTTTATAGAACAAAATATTTAATTTTTACTCTAGAAGGTAACTTAGGCCTTCCTCTTCTTAAAAGGGATTGCTGCTTTTCTTGTTTCTACGTAAATTGTAATAATGGTGGTATAAGTTGAAAGTATGAAGAGAATCTGTCACAACATCTTGCTTTCAGTATCCCTGTGGTTTTTGGGAGGTGTTGGTTGTGTTTTTAAGGTAATTCATCTGATGGTAGACCAATAAAGATAAGGAACTACTGATGTAAAGTGACATTATTCGGTATACCTTTTGTACTACTGATTCTTAACAACATTCACATATATATTGTCTTTCACAATTTGAATTTTTGTCTGTATTTTGGGGTTACTGCAGCAAGCAAATTGTGTAGCAGAGAAAGCAGAAATCCCTGATATTTACTGTGGACTATGAAAGCAAAGTTCTGTTGAATTGCTATTAGTTCAAACAATAAAAATGACAAAGGTGTGTTTTTTGGCTTATGGTCTTGGGGAGATACTGCATGCTTTCAGTGTCTTCAAGCAGATTTATATTACTATTTTTAAATGTATAATTAATGTGGTGGCTCTATGGGACTTTACTGCATTTGAAATCATAATTCTGACCTGGTGGTGAAGGCAGCCATGTCACCTGGCTTACCTGCCGAGCCCCTGCAGGAACAGAGCCAGCCTCGCTGGCGCTGCCTGCTGACTGTTGGTTTGACATCATCAGCTGCTTATCTGCCTTAACAGTTGGGAAGAAATAATTGCAGCAATAGCACTTGCTGTTTTAAGAATAGAAAACACGTCTGTATATTAAATACAAAATACAGACTGCTTGTACTAGCTCAGAATACCATCTGAGTTGAAAAATTATAAAAAGAGTGAGCCACAAACCACTGCAGAAAATAATTCCATTACAAGAAAAGGAGAAAATAAAAGTAGTTGGGGGACGTAAATACCTTTTCATTGTCTTGAAAGTCTGGTCCTTGGACTTGTTTTAAAGTTCCCTTCCTTCCTTAGGGAAGGAGGGGAGTTTCTTTCATTAAATAAGTTTAAACCATTTGTGTAATAGTAATAATAATATCAACACTGAGTGTGAACCTTATCATTTTTGATTGTGGAAAAGTACATTAGACCTCATAAAAGGGAGGAAAAAACCTTCCTGCAATAAAGTAACAAAACATGCTGCTGTCTTTCAATAGGTATGTAAGATGTGCTGTAGGGTTTTTTTGCATTGTGAAGACAGAATAATCAAAGAAAATCCCTTATACTAATCCTCTGATTGTTTTCTTTTAGGACAAATCAATTAGCAGTAGTTTACCTGTCCTAGATTTAATAGATGCCATTGCACCAAAAGCAGTTCGTCCAGAAATGGTCAAGAGAGAAGATCTTTCTTACCAAGACAAATTGAATAATGCTAAGTAAGTTTTAAACGAATGCTTTGTATTTTCCTAAAGTGCAGGAAATGCATGAATTCATGGTGTAATTAATGATTTACTGATTTGGTAACAGAGAGAGATTACATGAATATTAGTTGATTTGTTTCAAATAGAATATATTATAAATTCTAATATTCTAGAGCTATTTTTCTAGCATATTTAAAATATGAACTCAAATTCATGATTTGAGCTGATATGGGCTGATTTGGGCTGATACGACCTACCGGCACTCCACTGCAATTAGTTTATTAATAGCCTGCCATAATCCATAGTGGCTTTTTGACAAAAATAAATGCTTTGATAACCAGTAGCAAAACATCTGCCAGTACAATTGCTAATACATGCTTTCTTCACAATAATGTCCACTTTCTCATAGAGCATAAATACTGACTGAACAGGCTTATCCTGCTATTAGTCTGTTGTTGTTCTTGTGAATCCTGGCACACTAGTAGATGCAAGGAAAATAACAATATTTATTTGCTCTTGTTTTCCAAGGTATGCCATTTCAGTTGCCCGAAAAATCGGTGCTCGTATATATGCTCTCCCAGATGATCTGGTTGAAGTGAAGCCAAAAATGGTGATGACAGTGTTTGCATGTTTGATGGGAAGAGGACTGAACAAAGTAAAATAATGAAGAGATGTAATATAACTTTTCTGCCACATTAAGCACGGTGAATGCCTCGCAGTTTACAGAGTTCTGAAGCTTATTATAAAACGAGAAAATTTGTATGCACAAATATACTCATTAATTATGTTTTAATAATGTTTATATTAGTTAAAATTTTATTCAATTTCATAACACATTGATTATGTATGGGCAATGTTGTTTTCAGAACATCTTCATTACCAAATTAACATCACAGATTTGTATTGCTTTAAAAAAAAAACCCACACCATATCAATCAAGCTTCATTCATATTAGTTTCCATAGCATTGTAAGAATCTGTATCATTTTACATATGTTATTTCGGGACCTACTGTGAAACATTGTTTGATTTTTGTGGGTATCACTTACAGGTGCATTCCAGTCTGACTGTATTACTCCTAACTGCACAAAAGTTATCATCTTTGCCTTATTCTTGGAGAGCTTAACTCCTGTTGAAGCCAATGAGAGTCTTGCCATTGACTTCAATGAGAGCAAGTGAAGGCCTATGATAATGTCTGGAAACTAATGAGTATTGATAAAGCTGATGAAACTTTTTTTTGTGGGAATAACCTTTAAATACATGTAGTTGTTTTGTTTTGTTACTAAGCAGGAGCTTTTACAGTCTGTGTCTTAAGAAAAAAGAGCAAATAGTAAGCAGAAATGTAATCATGTCATTATTAGGTCTACAGATGCATTAGCTTTTGCAGTTGGACTAAACATCTGATTTTTTTTTTTTTAATTTTTCATAAAATATTGTGTAAGAAAACAATAAAGAGCTGGCTAGTCCAGTTTGGGGTTTCACATTAATGTATTGCATTTCCTTACAGATTGCTCCTTTGATTTTTTCCGAAAGTGTATATTGTGTGTAGAGGTTTTGTCTAGAAAGACCAGTGCATTGTCTGGATGATATGAAATCCATAATTATTTTCTTATTAATTTTAAAGTAAGTATTTGTACTCCTTTGTCTGCAGCTGTAAATTTTCACCAAACATTCTGGAGCTGGACATTTAATAAAGTTGTTACCGGAAGCCAAACAGTAAGAAAGAAAGAAAACTAAAAAAAAAAAAAATATCTTTCATTTTTATTTACAGTATTAAGCTGCTACTTTCTCAGCTCCTGAAAACAGTCCTCAGTGTGGCAGAACACAAGAATCATGATGAGTGAACAGTTGGACTAAGCTTTATATCTTCAGTATCTTGCACAACATATTAACAGAAAGAAGATGCACCCATTTAGTTTCTATTATATAAGGCAATACTGGGAGTTGAGAGAATTAAGTGCTTGCATTTAGACCCATTTGTCTCTGTTTACTCGTTTGTATTGTCTGGACAAGAATAAATTATTAAAATTTACTTGGTTTCTATTCCCAGTTCCCAGTGATGACTGAGTGTTGCACAGAATTTGAGTGGTTTGCCCTGATTCTGGAGACGAATCAGTCTAAGTCCTTATTAAAGATAGGCTAAATTGAGGCTTACTTAATTTCTCTACCATAAGAATAAATTATCTCTTCTTGAGATGGGCAGTTCTAAAGTACTGTATTTACCTGCCCAGGCGCTCAGCAACTTACTCTGTAAGGGTCAGTATTTACTATTGTGTAAACTATTGCTGTAGTGTTTTGTTCTCTTTAGGAAAAAGTCTGCTACAATTATGTGGCTCATTATTATACATCCAGAATTACTTTAAACTTTGATTAAATTGAAATGGGTTTTCAAGGGCAACCATCTCATGCTTGTCAGCATAAAAGTTTGACATACAAGCTAACGAAGAGCTACATGTTGAAGGATAAATGACAGCTCACATCATCTGGAAAGAATTGTCTTCTCAGAATAATGTTAGTTTTAAATAGTGCAAGATGTTAACCAAACAAGATTTTTCGAAAGGAAGTTCAAAGAACAGTGAGTCAGACTTTCAGCTTACACTATTCACTATAGTTCCTCTGAAGTTGGTAAAGCTATGAACTCTGCTTCTGTGCCTCTGCAGGCTGCTAACGTACACTAAGGAAGCTTTTGGTAAGTTCTTCTATCTTGTACTAGAGTAATGCACAAAAAAACAGTTTGCGTCTGGTAGCTCATGTAACACATAAATGTCTTTTTGAAGGTATGGCACACAATTTTAATCTGAAAAGGGAAAACAAATAGATATGCTTCTAGAAGTTAAGAAAAGTTAATGAAAGACAGTTTAACAACTCGTGCCCTAAGCAGTTGAAGCTGTACAGCCTGGTGCTGGGGTGAGCAGGGCCGCAGTTACTGCAGCAGCTGGCAGAAAAACAGCTGGAAGGGAAACCGCCGGCATGGGGACCGGCAGCGGTTAGGTGCTGGGGACGTGCTGGGGCGTCTGTCCTCGGCGCCTCACCCTGGGGGGAGACGAGGAGCTCCCCTGAGCTCCTGAGGGGCGCGGGCCCCGGCCCCCTAAACGCTGTCGGGAGGGAAGGGGAACGGCGGAGCCGCGGGAGGGGAAGAGAAGGGGGCGGCAGCCGGGCCCGGGGTGCCC